AATGTTGCCATAGCTCTTAGATTTCAGGCCAATCTCCCTATTGAGTTTTGGGGAGAATGTGTTATGACAACCGGTTATCTTATCAACAGGACCCCCTCCACTCTCCTTTTGGGTAAAACACCGTATGAGATGTTGTATGGGGAGAAACCAAGCTACAAACATATACGCACATTTGGATGTTTGTGTTATGTACGAAACCTAAATCGGACCAGGGACATGTTTGCCAGTGGAGCTAGACGTTGTGTCTTTTTGGGATACCCCTTTGGAAAGAAAGGATGGAGAGTTTATGACTTAGAAAATAATGAATACTTTGTTTGTAGGGATGTGGTGTTTTCAGAAACTAAATTTCCTTATGCTATTGAAGAAAAACAAGTCGAACGCAAACCCGATGATGGTAATCTTGCTTATGACCAGGAGGAAACTGAAGAGTATGGCGAAGAGGATAGTGAGAGAGGAAGGGKTAATGGTACTCGTGAGATCATAAGAGAGATAGATCAGGGCGACAGGGATGAAAATAATGAAGGGGAGCATGAAGTAAGGGGGGGGGGATTCTATGGAAGAAATGAATGCAGGGAATGAGCAACTTGGACGAGGCCATAGAGTGAAGCATCCTTCCACCCGTCTCAAGGATTACGTCATACACACCACATGGTGTTTCGACCGCAGTCTGAGCCCTTCTGCCAGTTCATCTCGCCAATTTCCCTCCTCAGGTACTCCCTATTCTATAACACATTATGTGAATTGTGATAAATTCTCTTTACAACACCGCTCTTTCTTAGCAGCTTTCACAGCTAATCATGAACCCCAGAGCTATTCAGAGGCTGTCAAGGACTCTCGTTGGAGAGAAGCAATGAGAAAGGAAATTGAAGCCTTAGAAAACAACAGAACCTGGATAGTGGTGGACTTACCGCCAGGGAAAAAGGCTCTCGGAAGTAAATGGGTATACCAGATAATGTACCACTTAGATGGCACAATAGAGCGGCACAAGGCGCGTTTGGTGATATTCGGAAACAAACAGGTTGAAGGGATAGGCTACAATGAAACATTTGCGCCTGTGGCAAAGATGGTTACAGTTCGCACATTCCTTGCAGTAGCTGCGGCTAAAAACTGGGAACTGCATCAGATAGATGTGCAGAATGCGTTCCTTCACGGAGACCTGCAAGAAGAAGTGTATATGAAGATGCCCCCTGGATTTGCTTCAAGACTACCTGGGAAGGTGTGCAAGCTCCACAAGTCGCTTTATGGTTTGAARCAGGCCCCTCGTTGCTGGTTTGCTAAACTAACGACAGCCTTAAAACAGTATGGGTTTATCCAGTCACAATCTTATTACTCGTTGTTTACACTTCGACGGAAGCAGGAACAGTTGAACATCTTGGTGTATGTGGATGATCTTGTTATCTCTGGAAATAATGGCAATGCCATACAGAGATTCAAKGAGTATCTGAGCCAATGCTTCAACATGAAATATTTGGGAGCTTTGAAGTATTTTTTAGGAGTGGAGGTCGCCAGAAGCCAGAAAGGTATTGTTCTTTGTCAGCGGAAGTATGCTTTGGATATCATATCAGAAACTAGATTGCTAGGATCTAAGCCAGCTGGACTTCCCCTGGAACAAAATCATAAACTAGCTCTGGCAGATGGTCATCTGATAATGAAACCAAAGAGTTACAGGAGGCTTGTGGGTCGTTTAATTTACTTAACCATTACCCGTTCTGAATTGTCCTACTGTGTGCATGTGCTTGCTCAATTTATGCAGAACCCTCGTGAACAACACTGGGAGGTGGCTTTACGTGTGGTGCGATATTTGAAAGGTAACCCAGGATAGGGAATTTTCCTTCCGGCTGACAGTGATCTTCGGTTGTATACTTACTATGATTTTGACTAGGCCGGGTGTCCACTGACACGACGCTCTCTCACTGGATACTTTGTGTTATTGGGACAAGCACCTATCTCATGGAAAACAAAGAAGCAACTTACAGTATTCAGATCATCGGCTGAGGCGGAATACAGGTCTTTGGCAACAACTGCATGTGAATTGAAATGGTTAAAAGGGTTGTTGCATTCATTAGAAGTTGGTCATCCTGATCCTATGCGATTACACTGTGATAGTCAAGCATCCTTGCATATCGCTGCGAATCCGGTCTTCCATGAGAGGATTAAACACATTGAAGTAGACTGTCACTTTGTCCGCAATGAAATTTAGAATGGGAATATACGGCCTTCCTACGTCAGGACTTCCGAGCAACTTGCTAATATGTTTACGAAGGCCCTGGGTAGGCAACCATTCGAGCATCTTCTTGCCAAGTTGGGCATTTCCCGTTTATATTCTCCAACTTGAGGGGGGGTATTAGCGTAGCTTTATCCTTCTTACTGTATGAGTCCTATCTGATGTATGAATCTTAGTTGTTCTTTGTTTTGGCTTTCATTGTTCATGTAAGAATTTGCATCCTAATCGCAAAAGAGAACTAACTCTACCTCTATATATATTTTGTAATGTTTCGATTGAAAATATATACAGAGAAAGAAGATTTTTCCCTTCAAACTCGAGTATCTCAGTTTATCAGTGTTCATCACGATTCACTGAGGTCGGTCAAAGTATGTTTTTCCGGCACCATAGATCGATTTATTTTAATTAGATAATTAAAAAAATCATTGCGACCGAGCATGGATCCCGTTTATAACGCAGGTCTGTCTATACACTACTGTCGGTGGGATTGACGATGATTAAGAGCTTGCAAATTGAAAAAATCTCTTCCCCACGTTTCTCTCTCTCTTCTTGACTCAAGACATTCAAGTGATCAATATGCAATCAGACGCCTATATATATAATAAAAAGTTATACGCGTGAAGAATGCACATAAAACAAAAGGCTGAAGAAGCCAGCATTTGCTGATTTTGGTTCTTTTCACGCGTCTGAGATTGAACTTAATTATATAATGAATCGGGATTTATTCCGGCATCTTCTATGAATAATAATATAAAGTATGAGAGATGTTCGTGATATACGGCTGAGACTTATTTTGAGTTGGTGTGAATAACAGATCGGGACTATATTAACGATTTGCACAAGATTAAGAGGGACCCACCTCCATTTCTCTCACCCTTTTGCATTGGTGGGTGAAGATCGAGGGAGGGGGGGCGTTTAAATTGACAACGCGGTGTTGATAAATGATAAAGTAATGAAAGCAACATTGCTTGAGCAAGTAAACAAGAATAATAAAACGTGGAGTTAAATTCAATCTTTAGGAACCATAATTGACCGCTTAGGTGTATATTCATCCAGATTCTTGATGGCTGATTGGGGGGTGCTTAAGGGGAGCGGATCTGCTCCCCACACAGGGCGCCTCACAGGCGCCTTACATGTACATCCTACCATGGGAATATCTCCCGTATTAATTAATTATTATTCATGGAAGATGTTCTCGATACATGGTGAATGTACATATAAAGCGCCCAACAGATCCCGTCTCGTGGTYAAGTAGTTTACTTTCTTTATTATTATTTTTAGTGGGTGAAATACAAGCATTGAATGCCATTGTTTCCTTTGTTCTTTATTTTTTATGTAATGCGCCTACCACCTACATTAAATCCGGTGTGATACAGCATTATACATTTAATGGAGAAAATATTATTATTTCCCAATAAATAAAATAGTACATAAAGATTAAACACGTGAACAAATTGCAAAGAAAGCATCCCTTTCCGTCTGGAATGGGATCTGCTCCTCATAGATGGGTGTCTTATGGGAACATCTACCGTGCATTGAAAAAATCTCTCATGAATAATAATTATTAAGTACGAGAGATGTTCACAATGTATAGTAGGATGTGCGAGTGAGATGCCATGTGTGAGAAATAGATCTATAGCTCTCAAAAAATAATCTAATGATAAGATGTATGATTTAAAATCTTATTGATAGGATGTTGAAARTGTTTTGTTCAGAGGAGATCATGTTAATAGGTAAAAGCAAAGAACAAAAGCATATGGAAACATGAATATTTATATATAAATATTTGTACTTTGTAGCATCCATGGTGTAGAAAGTAAAACAAGAAGACCATACCAATGTTACGAAAGACGAAAGGAAGGTGAGACGAAAGAACATAGTAGTAGTAATAGGCCCAATCCAAAAGGGCCAATACTGATTGGTAACCTAACAACTACCGCCACCCCCGAGACAGCACAAACAAATACGCTTTATCTCCACGTCCTCCTCCTTTTTCTGCGACCAACAAATATATATATAGAATCCCCACCATATCTCTTTGTCATTAATTTGACTTATCTATGGTCTGTAGGGCTGCACGCAAGCCACAGTCAACTTCTTCTCCACGGAACATGCCGACGAGCTCCCGTAAGGTGATATTAAAGTCAATCTGCAGCAATCATGTCAAGCCCATGTGTTAATATTAGTTACTCATTTATATCAATAAAAATACAAACAGCAGGAAACAGGCTTATTCAAAATACATGCGTCCTCGCAAATAATTTAGCTTACACTTAACAAATAAAATATCATTTCTGATAAATATTAAATAAAAAAACGTGTATAAAGGTTCTCAATCAATCAATCCACCTGTTGTTTTAATATAATAATATTATTATTAATTTATCCTAGACAAATGACAAATCGATTTAGAGCTKATTCGTTTTCTCTTAATTCTTATTTTTTTAAAAAAATCTTTTAGTTTTAAAAAAAATGATTATTTGTTTTTTCTTATCTCTTATACCTTAAAATACAATCATATAATTTTTTGTTTTTCAATAATATCCCAAAAAAATAAACAAAAACTCTAAGACATGAGGTATCAATATTCAAATAAATGTGAAGTGAGCTACTGCGTCTTCTCTTAAATTCCATACAGTTTTTTCGGTTTTACAAATGGTACCTACACCGTACATACACAGTAGTGTATCAATTCATCCGGATTGCATCCGTATGATACAATAAATGGCTTCCCTCATGTGATGGTGGATTCTTATTAAAGAAAAGAAAACAGAAAAAAAGAAAACGTTTTGGCCAAGAAGCGAGATCAGACTTTTAAATATTGACGATACGTGGCTTCCCTTCACAGGTTCAATTAACCCATAACAAAGGCAATTGTTCCGGGAAACACTCAAAAGATGGTTTTTGCCGACAGCAGATACCGAGTCAAGTCAAGCGGAGAACGTGCTGTCTGCACTAAAACGCGGAAACTCCGCAATTTGATTTGCCGTGTGGCTGGTTGTTTTAAACTTTTTTTAGGGCAAACCAGATCCAGAACGAATCCACGATCTCCTAGTGTCTTCTTCACTAACCAGCAAGGATAGCTAATCCAAGGTTGACCCTGACCCATGCGTGGTCTGAATCGGCTACATTCAGAAGTTGCAACCACGTGACCAACAGAGCACAACAGAACCATTTATTCTGGACCTCGACTTCTGAGTTTCTTAAGTAAGCCGCTTCTGAAATTCGTTCAAAGTTCAAACAGCTGGGTTGTTCTGGTAAACAGAATGTTGTAGGGTACATGACACATCATATGTGACTCAACACAAGTCATGGATTCTCCTCAAAATTGGGAGGGAATTTTAGGGTCAGGGTCTTCTCTCGTACGTTCATGAATCAACGATTGGGTCATTCGCTGGTGAGTCACCCTCACTCGTTCTCTGACATGGCTAAAATTATTGACCACGTGGCAATAAACAAATCGTTTATGCGATATTTTAAGACTAATAAGTAATAACGCGATTTCTACTTAGCCCGGATCTCCAGAAAGCAATGTTCTCAGGGTAAAAATTTCCGTAGATATTCCCATTTGCACCTGGAACTGGAAGCGATGTTCTTAGGGTATTTAATAATAAAAAAAAAAAATGGGGCTAGTCTTGAAGGCTAAAGCCACGACATGGTTCAAAAAAACTTTATAGTAGGTATTAATCGCTCTGTACGGTGTGGATGAAAGGCCAAGCCTCCTTGTTTTTGTTTTAAAAATTTTTAAATACCGGATGAGGTGGCTTCACATACACCGTTTGATGGTCATCTTTTTTGGTCACGTGGTGAATCACGTTGCAGCGGCTCTCTTTTGAGGTGCGTCCTCGAGCCGTGTGTGCTTCTCGCAACCAACGAGGTACATGTGAGGATTTTACAATTTACAGTTTTTTTAAAATATTTATTTCGATCAGCAACAAGTCAACAGCCGGTCGTTTATTTTTCCCACCCAAATGTTTACGAATAGCAAAAGCATACGAACTCTTATTATTATTATTTTTATCTACAGAGATCACTATAGAAAAAAACGAATCCAATTAATTTCAAAGGGGATTTAATAGAAATGAACGTATATTGAGAATTTCAGATCGCTCTAATTAACAGAAAGATTAAACACGTAATCACCCGAAGTTACCTCTCCTTGCGCTTTTCGAAGAACCTCTGAAGGGACTTGCTTCGGGCGATGGGCAGATCTGCAGAGACAAAACAATTTTAGAAAAAGTTTTAAAACCGCTCGCACTGTGTCTGTCATGTTATTTCCTACTTTCCAGTTGTGCCCTGGGAACTGGGAACAGGAAGGATTTACAAAAGAAGGGAAAATATATGCTGACCTCCGTTAAAGTTTTCCAGCAGATGCTGCTCGTCGCTTGGATCGGCCATTTCAACTGCTTTGGCGTTTCCTATCTCGGCAAGTTTTATGATTTTCTCCGCCTAGACGAGGAATCAAGTAAAAACTACTTTATCGTCAAGTAATCAGTATAGAGAGAGAGAGCATGCTTCAACCTACGACCTACGTTTTTAAAGTTTTTAAGCCTTAAACATGAAAACTAATAAATTAATAAATAGGGAGAGGGAGAAATCCCAACCTTGTCGCGAGGAACGTCGAAAATGGAAACGGTACCGTTGTAAAATATCGTCAAAGGAGCTGTCTCTGATGGAAGATCAGAAATGGACCTGAAATTTACGTTTGGATGTTAACAAATTGTTCTTTTTTTTTTTCGTTGTACGAAAAATATAGTAAAATGGATTGGAGGGTTTAAGACTTTCGCCTGTCCTAGTGCAGTTAATTACCTAGGAAACCGGTCGAGGACGGGTAAATTCGACGGGAGGCATTGATTCTCTTTCGGGGTTGAAGGCACCGAAAATGGATTCTCCGGTGGTAACTTGCCTCCATTTTGCCGGAAAATGCCTCCGTTTACCTGAAACTTTCCATCCAAACTCCCCTCCGCAGTTCCGGAAGCGATGACGGTTTTCAAAAGCTGAGGGTTGATCTTCGAAATGGCGCTTTGAATGTCTGTATAAAATAAAATGAGGAGTTAAAGTGAAACGCACAAAAAAAAAGGAAAGAAAGAAGAAACTCTCAGCGAGAGTGGATAATTAACTAAATGAAGATGAAGATTCAGAAGACGTGCGCTGCAGAAAGAGGCAGACCTCGAATAGTTTTCCGTTGATCGAGAAACTTTTGAAACTGAGATTTGCTGGGGTTCTCTTTCTCCATGCCGAAGAAATCGAGCTCCACAGTGGCTCTGGACATCTTTGCTCCCTTCGATTTCTCGCTTTGGGTTTTGTCAAGGAATAAGTTAACTGTTAATAAATCACAATTAAATGGAGTGGTGAAGGGGCGGAAGGTTATAAATTGATGGAGGCCACGAGAAAGGCGAGGGATGGGAAGGGCTACAGCCTACAGCGTACAGATAAAGAAAAAGAAAAGTAGGGACTGTGGGGTGGGGGTCGGGGGAAGGACAACAAACTCACAAAGAACAAGCTGACAAGTCTGAAATCGCACGTCTTCCACGGGGTTTTGAAAAATAATGAAAATACGCGGAAAAGTAGGAAATCCATATATAAGGACTTTTGGGCATGATGTATGTATTTTTTGTTTAATTTTTGATTGGTCCCCCTATCTCTATGTTTAACAAGTCCAAGCCCCTGCCGTTAAGTATTACTAGAGCTTTTATGCAAAAAAGCCGAATATGTAAATACCCTCTTCTGCTAACTGTATACATTTTTTAAAATTTTAAAAGTTTTTAGGGTGGAGGAATAAAAAAAAAAACCCTTCAGCTTAAAATTCAAGTAACAAAGGTTAGGGTATAGGCCGTAGTGACATGAGGACAAAACTCCATTTGAATGGGATGGGATAATAGAAATATAATATTGGGAACTGCTACTCACAGAATGCGCCTCACACCGACTTAATAGCCACATGACACTTTCTGATGTGCGGTTAAGATATGCTATGAAATCGATGTGAGGCGCTTTGTGTGAGAGCAGATCCGGATTAGGGAAGATATTGTTAAAATTATATGATGATATCATTAACGTGATTTTAGAAATAGGAGGGAAAGTGAGGTGATGTCATTTTTTTACTTTTTTGAAGTCAATAAATACGAGGATCTGGTTGTTGTATGGCGATAAGCAAAAACAACTGACAACCGCAAGATTACATCGAAAGTTGGCACTTGCCCCTTCGTACAAGCGGTGGGGCCATGCATAGAATTTGTATTTTCTGCCCACACAAACTCTGCTCACATTTACCGATAAAGCATTGCAGCCATAAATAGAGAATATCTTGCTCTGTATAGTATTATACAGGGGAGATATTCCCGTGTATTGTGGGTAGACGTAGGTATAGTTCTCGTTAGGTAGGAGATCCTGAGTCCATGCATCAGCCATCAAAGCATCATCATCCGTGAAACAAGCACACTCAATTACTGCCGGTACAAAGTTTTTTCTCTTCATTTCCTTATACCCCCATTTCAAGATCCGTGGTTGGGTCGGGTCGAGGTTCAATCCTGCTCCCACCCCAATGAATATATATATATAAAGTCAATTCCATCCGGTCCAATGTAAATTCATTTATAAATAGATTTGATCCGATTTAATCCAAATCAAATATAAACTAAATCCAATTCAATCTAATTGATGTAACAATTTTTTGTGTTAAGTATCTCGTCATTTGGTTTGCTTTTAAGTGGCCGATAATTCAGAGGTCGAAGTGAAATTTTGCTAGATGAGGACCTGGATGTCGAGCTGACCAGGCCGAGTTGGGGGCAGATTAGGTGCCGAGTTAATTGAGCCGAGTTGGGCAGGTTAGGTGCCGAACAGAGTGGGCCGAGCTAGGCAGTTTAGGTGACAAGCTTATTAAGCCGAGCTAGGCAGGTTTGGTGACGAGCTGACCAGAGTGTCGAGCTGCCTATTAGGTGTCGAGCTGACCAGAGGGCTGAGCTGTTTATTACTTGCCGAGCTGACCAGAGGGTCAGGCTGCCTATTAGTTGTCGAGCTGACTAGAGGGCCGAGCTGCCTATTAGTTGTCGAGCTGACCAGAGGGCTGAGCTGCCTATTAGTTGTCGGGCTTACCAGAGGGCCGAGCTGCCTATTAATTGTCGAGCTGACCAGAGGGCCGAGCTGCCTATTAATTGTCGAGCTGACCAGAGGGCCGAGTTGCCTATTAGTTGTTGAGCTAACCAGAGTGTTGAGTCGCCTAGTAGGTGCCGAGCTGACTAGAGTGTCGAGCTGGCTGGTGGTGAGCTGGATTGATTGTTGAGCCTTGTAGTTCTTTAGAGACCTGCAAGGAACCAATGTCAGAGGACCCGGGGCGGCTAACCCGACAAGGTCGCTCTGATGCTTAGGTCAGTACTCTCATAGTAAACTGTGAGCTAAAAATCACAAAGTATGAGAACTAGAATATGCTTACTTGCCCCCCTCATGTCATTGGGATCGGTGCCTTTATATAGGCATTGTTTGGCATGGGCTTCACGCACCATATCTGAGATTTTCAATAGGTCGCCTAAGTGGTCCGAGATTCCCGGAGGCAACCACTATGCACGTTGACCACCCACCGAATCGTTCGGTACGTGGGCCAACTTCAAAGGTTCGTGGGAGTGTTAGGATATGCATGTCGAATTTGTTGGCGAGCACGTCTCGCTGGTCGTCAGGTCGGCGCCTGGGCTTGGCCGCCAGGTCGCGCCAGGGCCAGGCCGCCAGTTCGCGCTTGTGTAGGCCACCAGGTCGCGCCTGGGCCAGGTTGCCAATTGCATCTGGGCCAGACCGCCAGTTCGCGCCTATGTCATGTGTCACAATATCATTGGAGGGTCAAATCCGCCCTCATCATTTGCCCCCCACTCCCGAGCTGAAAGTAACTCGATGATGGGAGTAGATTACTCCTTTTGGCCTGAAATGACTAATTCGATGAGCTCGTAAGTGTCGATTCAATTCCTTAGGCTCTGGGAGCAACTCACAGTCCACTCTCCTTACCCTTGATTTTGCCCATGCCGAAGAAGCGACTGGGTCTTATGTGGTGCCAAAGTCTTTACCAGTTCGACACTTTAGCCCTTAGGCTCTGGGAGCAACTCGTAGTCCAATCTCCTTGATCTCTGGTTTTGCCCATGCCAAAAAGGCGATTGAATCTTATGTGATGCCGAGTTGTTCTTTTCACAAAATGTTATTTTTACCATAATAATCAATCTAATGTGATTAATGCCCTAATAATCAATCTAGTGGGATGCTTAATTAATCAGTTGGCACAGGGTTATGGGCATGGAAAATACTCAAGCTACCCAACTTCAAACAATATGTTTTACCATTTGAAACAAAACATTGCATTGGCTACTCTATTAGCCAATTAAACCACAAAGTTGCAATAAATAACCAACACTCACATCTAATAAACCATTTGATTCAATCCAACTTGCACGGTTCAGATAAGCAAGTAGAATCTCCCCCATGCTCTATATCTGGACTCTTTAATTTTGACCTGGTGATTAGTTAACCAATCCATGAGCTCACTCCATCAGCATTCTGGTGTGGTTTTCTGTGCAATCCAAGTCTAAGAACACTGTTTTGACTAGACCCATCACCCCACGCTCTATCCCTTCAGTTCAACAAAGAGCTTAAATGAAAACTCTCCACATTCATGCAACTAATTCAATCCGATTCTAAACCATTAATCATGGACCCTACAGAGGATAAATCAATGTATATTCTTGTGAAAATACAGAGGATAAGTGTGCCTTCTCATTTAATGGGTTCTAAAAATGGGATTTACTGAATCAAAACTTAGAAAAACTGTGTCATGCTTAAAAACATCCAACCCTAAAGCTCTAGGGCAAAATGGATATAGTGAAGCAATTATTTTTGTAGTTAAACCTACTTGCAATAGAATAAACAAAGGGTACCTTAACATATAGCAGCTTCAACTTGCACTTCATGTCAAAAAAAAAGAAAAAGAAAAAACCTTAAATCCTACAAAATCATTAAATCAGCAGTCAATGAATCGTGCAACAAGGAAGTCCATGAACAACTTATTTCTTCAAGTTCTGCATTTCTTAACAAGCCTGACAAATTACAGGATTTACTTATGAATATCAAACTCAAATGAACATGATTTTTTTTTTCAAGACTATCATCATAAACCCTGTCCTATCTATAAGGGGTTGGCTACATGAGTCCTATGCGTGACAGTTAAAGGCAACAACACACATCCATTTTCACACAAGAGAGAATAAAAAGACAATAAAAGACTAGAACCCCACACCCACAGCCTCTCATAAACTTACCCAAGCAGAAAGGAATTGAAATTATCTTATTGTTCTTTATCCTCTTAGAAAAAATGGTTCTTACCATGCCTAAGGATAAAATAAGCAATAAAAATATTAAAAGCATAACAAATATGAAAAATTTTCAAAATGTGATAACAATATGTTGGCTTTTTTCTCTTTTCCTCTTTAATTTTCAAATAACTAATGTAAAACATATAACATTAAGTGAATAATTGATTAAAATTACACGATAATGATAGAAGTTAACAAAAAACAAGCTTTGAAAAAGAAACTAACATTGTCAATAAATTCCAAGTTGTTTGTCTTCATTATACCTTCTTTTCTTTTATCTATCATCATCTGACATACTACCATCAACATGAATGGCTTGGCAGTTCAATAAGAGTTCTTGTTCTCCATAATGAGATGGCATAAATGGTGAATCTAGATCTGTTCAGGCATTTTGTCTAACAATTCCCACATGGGAGAATGATGGGAGAAGGGAATATAGATTCACCTCCACAAGGGAACTCAAGATTGACGGTGGAGGAGCAAAAGATGGGAGTAGAGAAATTGAAAAAGAAAGTATATAATCCACCTAGGAAAATTAAAGCGAAGATTTGATTTAAGTCGGAGAGTGGAAGAAGAAATTGCTTTCTATTTTGTAAAGAGAAGCACAGTCGGAGAGTGAGATTTCAAGCCTTCAAACCTTCAAAGTTCGAACAAGGGTTTTTCGTCATTTCAAAATTCCAAATTTCTAGGGTTTGGTTCTGATTTTCGGTTTTATTGTGAAAATTTGATTTAAGTCCAACTCAAACCGATAGGAATTTAGACAAATTTATTTTGGATTTAATCCAACCCAATTTCTATACCAGACTGTTCAAATCCAATGTGATTAGTTTCGCTTTGGTTTGGATTCAACCAAAACCAATCAATTGACACTATATATATATATATATATATATATATGTGTGTGTGTTTGTGTAAAAGATTATAAATACAAATATATACAGTACAAATACATACAAAGAGATATACCTCGGGTTCATACTTAACCCAACGTGAGGTCAAGTTTGAATTAATAACCCAAGCCCAACCCATGCAAAATTGCAAGTTGGGGAGGGCTGCAGAGCAGCGGTTGAG